CCATGACCACCACCGTTCTGTCTGCAGCAATCGATCACCAACTTGCGGATCTCGCGGACAGCATCTTGGTCGTCGCTCTGAACAAGCCCCAAGTCGGCCTTCAGCGGAACCGCATGGCCGTTCCCTCCGTTGACCACCAACGGGGCACTCATTTTCACATTTGCTTTACAGAGAGGGATGGCCATGGGGCTCGTTGATGGGGATTTGTTGTTATATCGAACGTGTCACGTTCGTCGGTATTCTAAATCTTACCTCCCCATAAACTCCCAACATAGAAATCTCCCCGCTGGGATGTCTCTAGCTAAGTTGATCCAACGGTCTTTCCGCGGAGTGTTGCATATATCCACGACCTTGACAGCCGACCATGGTCGATGGGCCTTGTTTCTCGACTCTCACACATGCATGAAGCAAGCTTGCCCCAGGTCGATCTACCATTATGGCTTTGAAATCCCCAATTCCAGTCTCATGATTCAACAGGAGACGCCGGGGCAGTGACTAGTTGTCGGCAATTTACTAGCATACAGGCAGTATAATGCGCATAGTCAGCCAAAACGGCCTCGCTATACAGGGGCCGGATGACTTGGACCTTTGTATTTGGATCTCGCTCTAGGTGGTATAAACAGAATGTCAGCGTCTACTCTCTTCAAGTCTCTAACTATAGCCATTCTATGTCGCCAAAAATGGCTAACCCCGAACCACGCTTGATCATCATCGGAGGCGGTGTGGCCGCAATTGCGCTGGGAGTGAAATTGAAGACTCAATTGGGCTTCAACAACTTTATCGCCTACGAGAAAGAAGCCGGAATCGGCGGCGTCTGGCGCACAAACACGTATCCCGGTGTCGGCTGCGATGTGGACTCACACCTGTACTCGTTTTCCTTCAACCTCAATCCTAACTGGTCCCGACGATTCGCTGATCAGGCCGAGATCCTCCAGTACATGGACGACACGGTGGACAAGTTCGATATTCGTGACCACTTTGTGCTCAACACCAAAGTCGCAGAGGCAACGTGGGTAGAAGAGGAGGGGGTATGGGAAGTCCAACTCGTCGATCTCGTGACGGGATATCGATACACGAAAAAGGCCGAGTTCCTGGTCTCGGGCTGCGGCGTCCAGTCGTATCCCAAGCCCTGCGATATCCCTGGCCATGAGAAATTCAAAGGTGCCATGTGGCACTCGGCCAGATGGAACCACGACTATGATCTGAAGAACAAGCGAGTGGCCGTGATCGGGAACGGCTGCTCGGCCGCGCAGTTGGTGCCGTACGTGGTCAAGGACGCGGCATATGTCTACCAGTTCCAACGATCGCCTCAATGGATCAACGAGCGGCCCAACAAGGAGTTCTCGACTTTTCAAAAGCTGTGCTTCCAGTACGTGCCTCTGTGGCAACGGCTCTATCGATTCTACCTTTGGAAAACAACCGATGCCCTGCACGAACTCTACACTTCAGACACCAAACACGCGGTAGCAGCACGTGAAGCTGCGACGCGAGAGACTATCGAGTACATGAAGAAGACGGCGCCTGCCAAATACCACAAGATCCTGATTCCCGATTTCCCGCTGGGTTGTAAACGTCGCGTTTTCAATCCCGGGTGGCTGGAGTGTCTGCACAGCCCCAATCTTGAACTCACGACGGAGAGAATCATCGAGATCACCGAGACGGGACTCCGGACGAGCGAGAGGACGATTGATGTTGACGCCATCATCCTGTCGACGGGGTACAACATGCAAGAATTCCTTTCACCGATCAAGGTGACGGGACGCAACGGCAAGACCCTTTCGGAGCACTGGAAGGAAACCCGCGGCGCTCAGGCCTACAAGGGTACGTTTGTCAGTGGGTTCCCCAACTTTGGCATCGTCTTCGGGCCCAATGCCTTTCCTGCGCATAACTCGGTCATCTACACGGACGAGGTCCAGGTCGAATTCATTATCAAGACGGTGATTCGGCCGGTTCTCGCGGGCCACTTCAAGGTCATCGACATCAAAGACTCGGCCGAGATGCTGGACGCCAACCACGTCCAGCGCAAGTTGCAGAACATGGTCTGGAGCGCCAACTGTGTGAACTGGAACCGCGACGATCGGGGCAGAAACACGACAAACTACTTCGACACGACCTGGATGTTCTGGTACCGGCTGTACTGGCCCGTCTGGAAGGACTATACCATCTCTGGTGGCAAAGGCACCCACCCCGTCCATCCGCTGTGGAAGCTGGCCGCGAGCGTCCTGGGTGCTGGCTGTCTGGCAGAGGTGGCCTGGCACTTTTCTCCTGCTCTGGTGCAATCTCTCTCGACACTGCACAAGCTGGGTCTCTAGGTAGTTTAGTTAGTATTTGTGATTTCTGTGACTGCAAAAGAATTCAAGTAATTTTCCTGATTGAAACGGCGTTTGCATTAAACGTCTTTGATTAGAGCCCAGCTACACCTTGACTTTTGGGTTTGTGTATCCCCTTTTACGGCTTGTAGTCACCTTTGGGTCAAGGGTGATGGGCCTTCGGATATATGCCCTCGAAGTTTCCGGCCCGACACTCTCCAACTCCTAAATTGAGCACTGCAGAATGTCTAGCTCGATTGGCAAACCCCATCCATCCACTTCGCCAGCAGAATTGGGAAGTGGGACTGGCATCACGAGCCCAAGGATTTAAATAGTCCAGCGTGTGCCCCACAAACCACCTCACAATGGCATCCAATTCCCTCAAGAGTGAACCACGATGAGTTACGGACACAGGCACCAGGCCATGGTGCTTTATGGCGCCCAGGATCTTCGACTGGAGACGGTCGACACTCCAGCGCCCGGAGCAAACGAGGTGCAGATTCGACCGCGAGCCACAGGAATCTGCGGGACGGACATCCACTACTACGAGCACGGGCGCAATGGCAACTACGTCGTTCGCAACCCGCTGGTCCTCGGCCACGAGGCCGCTGGTGAGGTCGTCGCCGTGGGCAAAGACGTGACCTCGATCGCGGTCGGGGATCGAGTGGCCATCGAACCACAGCGGCCGTGTGGCGGGTGTAAGCAGTGCAAAGGGGGAATCTACAATCTGTGTCCCAACCTCAGATTCACGGGGTCAGCGACCGCGGATCCGCCCGTGCAGGGCTCTCTCCAGCAGGTCTACAACCACCCAGCGAGTTTCGTGCATCGCCTGCCTGAGAGTCTCACATTCACCGAAGGCGCTTTGATCGAACCCCTCTCAGTTGCCATGCACGCCGGACGTCGTGCGGGACTTGAAGCCGGGCAGTCCGTGTTGATCATGGGGGCTGGTGCCATCGGGCTCCTCTGCGCTAGTGTTGCCCGGCTGTCTGGTGCGTCGAGAGTGTGCATGGTGGACGTCGACCAATCTCGGCTCGACTATGCAAAGTCTCACAAGCTTGCCGACCACGTCGAGCTGATGCCACGGGGTCAATGGCAGGACTTGTCCAAGGCAGAGATCTTTGCGCGCACGGCCCAGCATCTCCTCGCCCAGCCCGGGTTTCGACTTGCGGACCGGGTGTTCGAGTGCACAGGGGTCGAAACGTGCGTCAATGTCGGCATCCACTGCACCGCACCGGGCGGCAAGGTGGTGTTGGTCGGCATGGGCAGCCCATTGCAATCGATCGACGTGGGAGCCGCCGCGAAGCGCGAGGTCGACTTGTTGGGGCTCTGGCGATACGCCAATACCTTTGAAACCGCCATCGAGCTGCTGGCTTCCGGTCGCCTGGACGTCAAGTCACTGGCGACCCATCGCTTCGATCTCCACGAGGCGGCTAAGGCGTTTGATCTGGTCCTCCAGAAGCCGCAGGGTCTGATCAAGTGTGTCATCTCATCAGATTAGGCTCCGCCCAGGTCGAACACAGCCAACGAACCAGGAACTCATATCTGTCTGTCTACTTGCTCAAAGTGTCCGCAGGCTGGACGACCTCGGAATCATGCCGCCTACTTATTGGTACAACGGGAGGCTTATGAATAGCACTCATCCTGAAGACTTTGGCTTCCCAGAATGAAGGTATCTTTGAGACCGATTCGCGACCTACAAGGAGAATAACAGGCTCCGTGGCTGAAGGACACTTTGAGTGAGCCGGATTCTGGGAGGGAAGGAAGCCTTGGCAGTATTTCCCCACAGAATCTTTTCAAGCTTGATTCGTTGGAGGGCTCATGTTTAAGCCTATTATAGCATGGCCTAACTTATTGAGGAAACTATATTTCTACCAATCACATACAATCAAGACCGCTCACAGTGGGTCTGACATTTCATGCCTGGAGCCCTGCGGGAGGCAACCTGGGAGTAGGGAATAGGATGTTTGTTCTCCTCTGTGAATGACCAGTTGTAACTTTTCCAGTTACGAACCCAAAGGGAGAGAAAATTTGGAGTATGGTTTTCTCTCGTGCATTCTCTGCGCGTGTGACAAACGCTCTTTGAGATTGGCATCCGGCTATATGGGTGCCCTAGGGTATTGACTCCCGTGCCGGCTATTTGCACCGTGCCTACGAGTACAAGTAGGCATATATCCGGTGGCCACTTTTGCCACGCAGCGCCTAGACCGCGAAGTTTATGACCCCTTCTCAAATCTGCTGATCAAGACTTTGACCATGTTGGAGATTATTATGCTGTGTCGGAGAGTTTCTGTGGAGCGTTGTTGAGTAGAGCAGCTGGACGTGGTGGGAGTAGTCTCGAGTGTGCAGGTCGTGCTCCAAAGCAGGGGTTGTTGCATTATTATTCAGCTTCGACGGCACCCGCACCAGCACCGAACCAGGCATGCCAGGGCCCTCTCCGGGGTTGGGATGGTCACGACGGGGTGCTGCACCCCGCAATCTGGCGGAACCGAGGCCTTGGGGGTGAGTACCGCCCGCTTGTCCCGTAGTTGGATTGGTCAGACTGTCTGTGGGTGCCCCCAAGCCTGTGATGTCCAATCGCCCCCCAGCGCTCTAGTCGACTCCCAGGACAAAATCTTGATGTCTGAATTTTTCGCTGCCTCTCGTTACTTGGACTGCTGCTCTTGAGAGAGATACCGATCAATTCCAAAAGACATGGTCACCGGCGAAGGCGTGCGGTGCCGCGCAGCGCGTGCTTGCCGGAGGTGCCATGTCAAGAGAATCAAGTGCGATGCCATTGAGGGTGGCATGCCCTGCACAGGATGTCAACAGGCCGATAACAGTGAATGTACATTGATGCCATCGAACAGAGGTACGTACATTCGAACGGCCTCCCGACGAGCGAGGCATCAACCAGCGCAAAGGGTGCGGTCCGCAGTTCCTCGCAGTACGGCGGTGTCTCGCGATCAAGATTACCAACGATCGATCGCGCCCGAAGAAGCAACGACCGAAGAACAGTACGAAGATCACCACCAACCTACACGGAACCCCGACTCAACGGCGCCAGGGACCGCGGGGTTGCGAGGAGCAAATCGTGGTGCCGGCAGAGGTCGAGACTCTGTAGCATCGCCAACGGACCGTCGTGTCACTTCACCCGCATCTGGGGCCGAGGCCACCACCTCACCAATGTTGGACCTCGCGACGACAGATCCGGATTCCGCTCATCGGGAGCCTTCCTGGACCACAATGTTTGACAGGCTCTTTGACAATCTGTCACATAACCAGAAGGCGGCGCTCGACAAATGTTCCATCACGTATTTGGGCGAGTCATTCCCATTGGGCATGGTCCTGGAAGAGGTGAATGAAGGGGGACGAACACGCCTCCATCACCCCGGACCTCCCGTGTCCGAACCCTCGGTGGTAGAAGAGCCATCGGGACAGCGACACCCCTCGCATATGCGGCCAGAAGATATCACATACCTCAAGTCGAAAGGGGCATTCACATTCCCCGACGCCGACATGCTCGATGCATTGGTGGCGACCTACTTGGGACGCGTTCATCCTCTGTATCCAATAGTGAATCGACAAGAATTCATACGACAGTATGAGGCCGATGAGGTCCCGGCCATGCTGCTGCATGCCATCTGCTCGATCGCTGCCACATTCTGCGACCTTGCGCTCATCCACCGCGCCGGATTCCTCTCGCGGCTTGATGCGAGGTTGGCATCCTACCGCAAAGCCAAGGTGCTCTTTGAAGTCGGCTACGAAACGGACAAGATTGTGCAGCTCCAGAGCGCCGTCTACATGACCTTTTGGGGAGGCGGCCCGCTCAACCATTGGAACTATTTCAGCTGGATTGGCACGGCCGTCACCATCGCAGAGTCGCTGGGGATTCACCGGTCAATGGCCAATGCCGACATGGACGTTTCTGACCGCAGTCTCTTGAAGAGACTGTGGTGGACGCTCGTCAACCGGGACGCACACTGCCAAAGCCTGGTCGGGCGCCCATTCCGCATCAACCAAGACCAGGTGGACATCGAGCCCTTGCTGATGGAGGATTTTGAGGAGGACATGCAAAGCCCCGAGTTCAAGTCGCACCCGTTACGAGACTCGTTCGGGCTCTACCAGATCCATATGTCTCGACTGTCGCTCATCCTCAAGGACATTGTAAACACTCGCTTTCGGCCCGGCCGACTGCAGTCGAGAGCTGCCCATCTGTACGAGAAACTGCGGCGCTGGCGGCACGAGTTGCCCACGGAACTTCAGTGGGTGGACGGCGACGCGAACCTCGACGTCTTTGCGTTGTGCCTCTGCACATCCTACAACCATCATTTGATACTCCTCCACCAAGACCAGCCGCCCATGGGCGGTGTTGGTTTGGCGTCTACTTCTACCCAAGAAAATTCCTTGCTGTTGAAAAGGTCAATCCCTGCGCCGGAGATCGCGGCCAGGAACGTTACGTGCCTCGTGTACACGATCTACGCCAAGTCAAACCCGCTGTGCATCCCGCATGAAACGTTCCAGGGCGTGTTCCTGGCCGAGGCCGTCATGTTTACCCAGATGAAGACCTCTGACCCGATGACCGCCCAGCACGGCAGAGCCGCGTTGTCGGCCTGTCAGATGCTGTGGCACACCGTCCTCGAAACCTGGGACGCGTCGCCGTGGATTCTCCGTTTGTTCGACCATCTGGTCGGCCGCCTTGGCCTTCCAAGCGACAGGCAGAACGACGCTGGCTGGGCACCGACGATGACGGCGGCGGCGACGGGAGAGTCCTCTGCCGACGCGCTACACCCCGACGAGTTTGTCGATGACTTTGGAGACGCTCTTCCAACCCTCTCCACGTTTCTCGACATGACGCAGGACGGCGGCGCCTTGTCGAATTTTGTAGATTTCCCCATGTTTTCAGGGTCTTTTGGCATGGCGGATCAGAGTCTGGGGATGCCATAGCAGAGCATTCCGAGAGGTGGTGGTGGTAGGAGGTGCGCATGGATGACTTTTAGTATGATTTCGAGTATATAAGCGTGCGTATGAACGAGATGGAGTAGTCTCCCGGGTACTCATATGTCAGTTCTCTCGAATCACTCCCGTAACAGAATAGTTGACTATGAGGCGATAGAGGACCCGGCTATACCCCCATGAAAATCACCAGCCTTTGCTATTCGACGGGAAATGTGAAATCCCCGTATGCTGGGCCGTCGGGTCCATCGTGCGCTCTCCGAAAGTAGGCTGTCTAATCAAGGCAGTTCTCTAATACCACCGGCTATACTGGTCTACATACAAGCGGGCCTCTCGACCGCGCCAGCTCCGGGATATGATTTCACGACACGAGTAACAATGATGTTGGAGTGAAGTCGAAGCGAAACAACAACACTGAACAACTCGATCTCTCGTCGTAACCCTTGCCAATGGATACGGAAACACAATCATATACATTCGCGAGATGGGGGGACCTGCCACGGATTCCCAACACCCCGCAAGGCTGTCTCTGGGGCTTTTACGACCGCCAGGGCAAAAAGGACGAAGTGGGTGGTAAGCGTTCGATTTCCCTCGTTCACAAAACCTCATATGAATATCGATTGATTCTGTCTCTCGGGGAAAAGCAATCAACCTCCTCACTTCCGCCGTGGTCAGAGAGGCCAGCAAGGAAATCCAGACGGGACAGCACGTCCAACTGGACTGGGAGCTACATAATCAGCAGTTCCCGGGGTACAATCGCAAACCCTTTGACCACAGGGTCATCGACCACAAGCCCCTCGGGATATGTGGCTTCGACGACGAAATCCACATGAACACGCAGAGCGGGTCGCAATGGGACGGACTGAAACATGTGAGTCTCTCTCGAACGATGGGGAGCTTTTTGCTTGACCTTTGTCAATTTGCGTGTGACTCACTGCCCTCACCCGCGCTCTAGGACGGCTACGGCAACGGTCACAATGTCTTCTACAACGGCCTGACATATGAGGAAGCGTGTCGGTCAACCACAAACGGAACACATAGTGAGTTTCCCATCCGACCCACGGATCACGCGGACTTTTCTATCATATCAGCAGAATAAAACCTAACACCTAGGTGGTTTCAGATTGGTGCGAGAGGGGCGGCATCGTCGGTCGGGGCATCTTGGTAGACATGGTAAAATATTTCCTTCTTATCACTCTTCACCTCTGTGTCCTGGGCAGAAATGATCAACCGACTGACACACAAGCCCAACAGGTCCGATTTTACGAGAAAAGGGACGGGCGCGCCCCAGATCCGTGGACGCGGTATGAGATCCCCCTGGGCGACATCCAGGCCGCGCTCGAGGACCAAGGCACGACACCCCGTCAGGGCGACATCCTGATGATCCGGTCAGGCTACGTGAAGCGGCACAACGAAGCAACCTCGCAAGAGCGGGAAGCCTGCACTTTCGGCATCGGCAAGCCGGCCATCGGGATCGCCGCGGACGAGGAAACCGTTGCGTGGATGTACGACCAGCACTTTGCGGCCCACGTCGGCGACACCGTGGCGTTTGAGGCGTGGCCGCCGTCCCCGGCGAGGGAGTACAGCTTCCATAACTGGTCGCTGGTCTGGTGGGGGACACCGCTGGGCGAGCTCTGGGACTTGGAAGGTCTGGCTGGGGCTTGTGAACGGCATGGTCGGTGGTCCTTCTTCTTCACCAGTGCGCCGCTGCACGTTAAGGGCGGAGTGGCGAGTCCGCCGTGCGCGATCGCCATATTCTGACAGAACAGTCTATACCTATAATATAGCCCGTACTGGTGGCCACCCTTCAGATTTTCGTATAGAAGATAGGGCTGTTGGGGTAGAATGGAACACGTATTCTTGACCAAGTTCATTGACGGATCTGAAGTCTACAGCCAAGACGTAGTGCATAATTGGTATCCATCCTTCGAAAGAAAGCACCCACAGGACGGACAAAAGGAAACCATAGAGATCATTGCTATAATAACTGTCATTACAGCAACCGGAGGAACAGGATCTATCAACTTCCATCCCAGTAGCGACCAACATGTAGAGCCCCCGTGACCAGCATCTCCGATCCGCTCGTGTAAGAGCTCGCCTCGCTCAAAAGATACACGGCGGCGCCCTTGAGTTCGCTCCTGTCTCCCATACGGTGGAAAGGGGGCTCTGTCACAGCCACCTCGGCGACTTTGGGGTGCAGCTTACCGTAGTTGACGAGGGTGTCGGTGTTGATATATCTACATGCGTGTGTCAATTAGCCTGGGACAGGCAAATTTGTGAATAGGTCAATAGCCCCCTTTCGAGAGCTGACAGCCAAAGAGAGAAAGAGATGGTCATGGTACGCACCCCGGCGAAATGCAATTAACCCGGATCTCATCCTTGGAGAGCTCAACAGCCAGTTGACTCTTCAGAGACACGACCGCCCCCTTGCTGGAGCAGTAGTCGCTCGTGAACTGGTGGTTGCTGGACTGGTGTGCCGCCACAGACGCGATCATCACAATGGACCCAGCACCCGAAGCATTCGTCTTTCGAGGCTGGCGAACCATTTGCGCCACGGCCAGTTGCGTCGCGAAGAAAGTCCCAAAGACATTGATACTGAAAGTCCGCACCACGCTGTCGGGAGTCTTATCGAGAAACCGGTTGTCAAAGCAGACTCCGGCGGCCGTCACTCTGTCCATCATAATCGCCGCGTTAGTCCACGACGGTAGATTATGGTATCTGTCCGGAGAGTGCGTGGAACTTACAAGCCATCAATCCGGCCAAAGTCGGCAACGATATTGTCGAATGTCCCTTTCAACCGGTTGAAGTCGGTGACATCGGACCTACCACAATGGTCAATTCCACGCTGGTCTATATTCGCCGAAAAAAAGCAACGGAGATGACGAACCGATAGAACTTCGACTTGGGCGAGATCTTCAGTAGTTTCGTGTAATGCTCGTGAGGCTCTGGCAGAGCATCGACGATGGCGACCAATCCGCCCGCCTCGGCAACGGCGAATGCCAGCGCAAGGCCGATGCCTCGCCCACCTCCAGTGATCACAACGACATTATCCTTGAGAAGGAACTGATCCAACACATTACGCGTCAGATACCGGTCCAATTCAGCCTCCTCGGTGACATTCGAATGGCCGTTAGCATTGCCATTGCCATTCATGATGGAGGGCCAGACGGCGTTTCAAGTCGCGACACCGACGTGCTGGCGCTTCAGATGTTGCACGACGGCAGACAACACCCGACAGCGTTTTTTAAGAACTTTGTCTGGGGTACAGGAACTGGAGTTTGGAGAACCCTCAGTGATCAGAGACCTGGTTGATGCATTTGCCTTGGTGAACTCGTCCGAGCCCAAGTCACTGGACCCATATAGCCGGATGAGAGTCTCGTATATACAGGCTGGATAGAAATGCGTGACCGATACTGACTCCAACAGAAGAGAATCTCCTCCATAATGCCTTTGTGATGCGAATGTAGATAGCTGCGAAGAGAGACTAGCTCTTCAGTTGATAATATCCTGATGCAGACCATGTCGCCTTTCGAAGGTCAAGGCTGACTGGTTGGTGACGATGAGAGTACCTCGTACGCTGGCAGTATTGCACATGACAACACGACTTAGGAGGCACTATTAATTCCAACAACTGGGGTAAGAACCCATGCACGCGAGCCTAGACCATTCTCAGTAGCAAAAACCTGTGGAGGAGGTCTTGTCGTACTAGGAATCACCCGCTTCAACTGCTCGGGGCACTTGAGACGCTGTGATTTTCGGTATGGCAACAAGACAGTTTGCTGGGGCCACTGGAATTCTGCGGACGTAGCGACGAGCAAAGTACCTCCTCAACGGTCCATCTCAGAAAGGCATAAATTTGGTCTTGGGGACTGGAGTTGTCGGATATCAAAGTTCTGTTGGACATGAAAGGGAAGCCTCCTTTGATATTGGGACACTCATACCCATACTGATTAGTTTGACGAGATACAGTCTGGAAATCCTTTTTTCCCTTTCCCTTTCTTCGTCCTCTGTCTTCCTTTCTTCCCCCATCTTGAATCTACAACGGCACATCCCAGTCCATCACCTTGTAAGCGTCCTTGACAGTTGACAACTCGCTCAGTTCCGTTCCCACTCTTCCCTGGTCAACAAGCCCTCCTCGCCGCTCCAGCTGTGGACTCTCAATTCGTTCCACATGGCCATCATGATGCACATCTCCAGCCCTAACCCAGACCGGACGGCACTAAAGTCCTGCAGAGTTGTTTGGATGTGGGCGGCCGGTTTGCCCGTGACCTCGGACTAGTCGCTGAGCAATTTCCCAGTCGTGGTGTCTTCACTGTAAGTGAAGACGAAGCGGCCCTGGCAATTGCAATGTCAGACTCAGAGGGAAGCCCTCGTACTTCAAATGCTTGTATCAGTGATTGCTCGTTATTGATATCCGCCTTGACTACTTCAACACCACGTTTGGCCAGCGCAGCGGCTTTGTCGCTGCTGGGACTTGCGGGTCAGGCCTCTGACCTTGTAGCTGCCATCAGCGAGTACGGCGTTGATAGCCGAAAGGCCTTGAGTGCCTGTGGCTCCCACAACGGTCAAGAGCTTGGCCATGCTGGTCAGAGAAAAGGTAGTCCAAGATCAAAGGTTATTCAGGGCGTTGGAATCTTCTACCTATCTAAGCACAAGCAGCTGCATTTATAACCTGTGACCTTGGCTCGTAATAACCTACCTTCTCACTCTATATTGCTCAGCCATTCATTTGGTCAATTTGACATCGTCCCAGCAGACTGCAAGGGTGTGTCATCATCACAGTTCTCTTGCAGGCGCAAAACACAGACGAATACGAAAGATGAAGAATGGGAGCTCGTGAGAACCTGGCTCGGCCAAGGCTGTGAGAGCGCGTGTTTCGAAGACTGTGCATGTGAATGTCATTACTAATGAGCGATATGAGGTTGGAGGGCTCGAGCGAGACAACCACGCCCACGCCTTAAGAGAGAACGAAGACATCTGAAGGGTGCGAGGCTCTCGGCAAAAGCAGCAAGAGTGAAGATATGGTAATAGTATTTCCGCAAACAACCATTTTCGTCAATCTGTACCGAGTCAGGGTCCTGAAAAGAGAAAAAAGGTGGGACAGACCACAAAACTAGGGCAAAGCACACCCTCGCAACACTACTTCTACACCTTAACTATGGGGATAATTTTATAAAAAAAAAAAACACTCTGGGGATCGATAGATTATCTCTATCTATTATACCTGTATATCTTAGACTTGAAGACTACAACGTGAATTATAGGAGTATTGTCGTAAAGTCTCTGTATTTGCACCTATTTTGTGTCTGTCCCACCTTTTTGGTCGGGACCCTGCGAGTAAACTGTGCTGTGATTGGTAGGGCAGTGACTGATATGACGTATCATGACGTAACTGGCTGGAAGGTGTAGCCCGACTAGACCATCTTAGGTAGTGTTACCGCCAGTAGCCAATCTCAGTCACGTGTGCCACACCCCAGCTTTCCACAATTCTCCACGGCCTGGCATCATGTTACTTGTCGTCTCCAAGATCTCTATCTCACAATTCTGACATTCCAGCGACACCTTTGCGCAGCGCAACGTATTATTCATCCTGTCTACCTCCTCTTCGCGCTAACGTTACCTCTTGTCTGCGTCTGTTTCGAACCTCTTCCATTCGCTATGGCTGGGAGCGTGGCCCCCAAGCGTCTCTTCCAAGAATACAAGTCTCTCTTGACCAATCCACCCGACGGCATAACCGCAGGTCCAGTGAGCGAGGATGACCTCTTCCTCTGGGAAGCTCTGATCCAAGGCCCTGAAGGCACTCCCTTCGAGGGCGGCATTTTTCCTGCAGAGCTCAAGTTCCCCAAGGATTATCCTCTAAACCCGCCCAAGATGAAGTTCCTCGGCGAAATCTGGCATCCCAACGGTAAGTGAACACGAATTCGTAATTGCTCAAGAGTACTTCAACTAACAGGGAACAGTCTACACCAACGGCGAAGTCTGCATTTCCATCCTACATCCTCCCGGCGATGACCCAAACCACTACGAGAGTGCCTCTGAGAGATGGTCACCTATTCAAAGCGTGGAGAAGATCTTGATATCTGTCATGTCAATGTTGGCCGAGCCGAACGATGAAAGTCCAGCGAATGTGGAGGCGGCAAAAATGTGGAGAGAACGACGAGCGGATTTCGACAAGAGAGTGAGGGAAGGAGTGCGACGGTCATTGGGGTTATGATTGCAGAATCGGGCGATCCGACTCTAGGACAACTGTGCGGCAACAAACTCTTGTGCTCAACTTCTACAACAGAGCTGTTGACGCAGTCTTCCCATCAACCATTCTTCCAGGCCACCTTGTCCCTCATCCAGGCTTTGGATTTCGGCCTTTCGATTCAACATGAGCATCCGCTGAACTTCGGTGACCGCTTCTTGCAGACCTTGCAGAACAATTCCTGCTTGATCGTGCCACTCCTGATTTGCCAGCAATGCATTTGCTGTCATTCGATCACGCTTCGACAACTGCACCGCCTGGTTGCCAATATCTTGATGCGAGACCACATCTTCCATTTTGAGGCCTATCCATTGTGCTTCGGGGATGTCACAACCGTGCTCCTGTGCCAAACTCCTCGATCCGTATAGATAGCACTTCAAAATCTTGACACCGTCTGGATCCCAATCAAACAAGCCAAAGACTGGAATCGAGGACGGAGACTGATCAAGCAGCTGGCGTAGGAAATATCGAGTCGTTATGTCAGGGTATCCCTTAGCCTAGGAACCAGTCAGTCATCAAGTCATCTTGCTTCCGAAGGTGCAGTTTACGGTAACAAGCAGGCCCGGGCCAATAACTGGATGCTGATGGAATTCCCTTTCGGTCAGTGCATTGAATGTTGCCTATTTTGTTGTTAGCAAAGTCTTCTAGGCGAGACTTCTTCAACAGACCTCTTTCTCTATGACCAGGATCCAATTGACGTGGCTTGTGGTGGCTAATGGGGTGTTCACGCAGATGGTCTGGACAACCGGCGCGTGCCTGTTTGAACGAACATCACAGAGACCAGCGGCCAGGCCTTTCGGGCTTGCAACCTAAGCGAACGAAATGAGAAGTGAAAGTTGACATGTGGAATGACACTTCTCCTACAACGTTGAGATCTCGTCTTGTCACCCGGCAAGTGTGGGCGATTTCATCGAGATATCGATCCACGGTTCCTTGATTTTTGAAAAGATCTACATCGTGGTAGTAAATGTCCCTGCCTCTGAATGAGAAGACAATCCATTTCGTGTTTTCAGCAAGACTGACCTCTTTGTGATTGTGACACCTTGCTTGATAGCAACATATATTTCCCGCAAAATTCGCCCAACGCATGCTCACCTAGGAATCAGAGCCGTAGCACGGCTGCAGGTGTACACTACTCACCGAATCTCCATGCTTCGGCCTTGGTTCGGCCGGGAAAGTGGTATTGTACTTGTCGAGATTCAACGTGCCAATGCAGATGCGTTGGGTCATCTTCATCAGGGTAGGCTTTCACCGCCGCCACCCGACTCATGGTAATCACCGGCTTGCCATGCCCCGATGTGTGTTTGATTTCTTGTATAATGGCATTGAAGGTCGCCTCGATGTAGTCCAGGACGAGTTGATTGGCGGCGGTGATAGGAGCTCCAGCTGGCTGTGGCAAGGGATGGAGTGGAGGGCGTTGTGACGGATCCATGAACGGGTATTGCTGAGACGGTCGCAACATGAGTACAGGTACAGGCTGTCAGGAAGAGACATCCGTCTGGGCTACTGAGACCCAAGGCTGAGCCGTGCAGGGGGGACCCTGGATCTCGGAGTGATGTTAGTGGATTGGCGCAGCCCAAGTATGGAGACTGCAAACATGTGGGAGATGGAATCGGGCTGCGGTGCCTGAATCCTTGGCTCATCACCTGTCCTTCAGTGCTCAATGTGGTGACCCTGCCAGCCAATCCCCGCAGCACAGTTCCTGCATCGCTAGTTGATTCTCCGAGTGGCCTCATTCTATCATTTCCCCCAATTTTTTGGTCGGTGCACCGACTCCCCAAGGCGGTGACCCTTGTTGAGGGTCTACTATCTTTCGTCCGTCCTCGTCCACGCTAAGCAGGTTCAATCTGTTTGTACCATGTTCAAGGCGTTTTGAACACCACCATTGAAGATGGTGCAGACTCGACAGTCGTCGCAGAAGCCAACGCGCCGCGACGCCAATGGCCATGCAAACGGGACCGCCAATGGTCACATCAACGGACACATCCTCACCTCAAGTGATGACCAAATAGATCGATCCAGATGGCGAATGCTTGATGAATCCGGTCGACAAACCTGGCACTACCTCAGAACCGATCAAGAAGTTGCCAAATGGCCACAATCGACCGCAGACAAGTATTATCTAGGATTACCTACAGTAGGTCTGATTTTCACAATGGTTCGAACCTGCACTGACAAAATAAGGACCTCCCTGAACTCCCTGCTGCCTCGAAACCGTCTGAATCGATCGACAATTGCTTGAGCTTCTATTCACAATTGCAGCTCCCTCCAGGCAACTGGGCTTGCGAATATGGTGGACCCCTTTTTTTGATTCCGGGCATCGTGATCTGCTGGTACGTGACAGGAACGCCCATCCCGTTGGAATACAAGATCGAAATGAGGAACTACCTCTTCGCAAGACAAAATGAGGATGGCGGGTGGGGTCTGCACGTTGAAGGTCACAGCTCAGTCTTCGGCACAGCCATGAACTACACCATCCTGCGAATACTGGGAGCCAGCGCGGAAGACCCAAGAATGATCACAGCCAGAGGAAAACTCCACGCGATGGGCGGAGCAACCAATGGTCCTCACTGGGCTAAATTCTGGCTTAGTGTTTTGGGGGTCACCCGCTGGGATATCGTCAATCCAGTTCCTCCGGAACTATGGCTTGTGCCTGACTGGGTTCCGATTGCTCCGTGGCGGTGGTGGATTCACATGCGCCAGGTGTTCCTTCCCATGTCATACATCTGGTCCAAGAAATTCACGTTTCCTGAGAATGATCTCATTCGATCTCTGCGACAGGAGCTGTTCGTGCAACCCTACGACTCGATCGATTTCGGCTCACACCGTAACTCGATTGCCGTTGAAGACAACTATCATCCGAAATCCTGGCTGTTGAATCTGATAAACTGGCTCTTGGTGTGGATCTGGATTCCTCTGCTCCGTGCAAACTCGATCGTCGACAAGGCCGAAGCTTGGGTCTGGCGACTGGTCCAGTATGAAGACCACAATACGGACTATGCAGACCTGGCTCCCGTCAACGCCCCAATGAACACTATCTGCTGCTTCATCAAAGAAGGACCTGACAGCTATTCATTCAAAAGACACCTCTACCGCCTCGAGGAATATCTCTGGGTTAATAAGGAAGGAATGCTTGTCAACGGGACCAACGGCGTTCAAGTCTGGGACACATCATTCACCATTCAAGCCTGCGTTGAAGCTGGCTTGGCGGACTCGCCGAAGTGGAAGCCAATGCTCACCAATGCACTGCACTATTTGGAGTCGGAACAAATTCGGGACGAAGTGCCCGACCGGGAAGTCTGCTACCGTCAGTCACGCAAGGGCGCATGGCCATTCAGTACCAAGCTGCAAGGCTATACCGTCTCTGACTGCACAAGTGAGGCACTCCGTGTCGTTCTTCTTCTCCAGAATGGCCACGGCTACAAACCGCTACTTGACAAGTCTCGCATTTGTGACGCAGTCGACGTGCTTTTGACCATGCAGAATAAGCATACCGGAGGCTTTTCTAGCTACGAGTGCCAACGCGGCTCTGAATACCTCGAATTGCTCAATGCAGCCGAAGTATTTGGGCGCATCATGGTAGAGTATGACTACCCCGAATGTACCACCGCCGTGGTCACAGTCTTGTCGTTGTTTCAGAAGTTCTATCCGGACTATCGTAAAGACGAGATCAAACAAATCAAGGAATCCGCATTGCAGTACATCCGCCGGGCTCAGAGGGAGGACGGATCGTGGTACGGCAGTTGGGGGATTTGCTTCACCTATGGGGCGATGTTTGCCCTTGAATCCTTGGCCTCGGTGGGCGAGTCATATGCCAACTCACCACAGGTCAAAAAAGCATGCGAATTTCTCATTTCGCATCAAATGGCCGACGGAGGCTGGGGCGAGAGCTATCGCGCCTCGGAACTGAAGGTGTGGGTTGACCATGATCAATCACAGGTTGTGCAGACCTGTTGGGCCATCATTGCGCTGATGTATGCTGGATACCCCGACCAAGAGCCGCTCAGACGGGCGATCAAGATGATCATGGGCAGACAGCAGAGGAACGGGGAATGGCTGCAAGAGGCCATCGAAGGAGTGTTCAATTGCAGTTGCATGATCACGTACCCGAATTACAAATTTTACTTCCCTGTCAAGGCGATGGGCATGTATATAGCGAGATGGGGCGACGAGGAGATTCTTTGAGCCGAGAGTCGCACAATGGTCTGTACAGCTGCTGGGAATACAGCACCAAAGAAATCACATTGACGATCAAATCCTACGAAGCCTTGATAAAACATTCGAACTCTCTCTGCTTGGTCTCTATATAATCACTGACTAACCGACCAAGCACGAAGATACACCTGCGGAGAAGTTCTTTCTTTCTTCTTGTAACTAATCGTCACCTCGACCTTCCAGATACTTTGCCCACACCTCCTCAATGTCGTTGTGGTATATCCACGGCAAGGCCTCCTCGCTGCCGAAGGAAGCCATCTTGATCTCAAGGACCGATTCGAACGACTTGTCCGAGGCGTTGGTCAGCGCCTCTGTGGCTTTTTTCTTTTGGTCGTCGAGATATCGATACCTAAAAGAACCATACACTCTTCAGTAGACACCCAGTAGGTAGGCCCTGGGTGGGTGGTGCCATGGTCCACGTTCGATATATACACGGGGAAGGGCGTAAGGGCGAAAGACAGCGAGGGGCACATACATTCTGAGATAGTAGGGAGACCTGATGGCGTCGAAGATGGCGAGGGCTTGCGCGAGCCCCTTGGGGGCGCCGCGGGTATATTCGATGGCGCGGGCGAGGATCCAGCCGTCTTCGAGGGCAAAGGCCGCGCCGGAGCCGAAGGCGCCTGAGCAGGGAGGAAAGGGGTGAGTTAGTAAAGTGAGTGAGAACGCGGTTTATATAATGGTTCCGCATAAGGGATATGGATGGAATGATTCGCGTACCCGATAGAGGATGGCTCGCGTCCCCCAAAAGCACGACCTTGTCCCACGCCGTGAGCTTCTCGAGCCTGGGACCGGCAAAGGCCGAAAACTCCTTCCACTGGCCTTCGGGCACGAGGGCGAGGACGTCTCTCACTCGCGGGTCATATTCCTGCAAGTCATACCACACCATACAACCCCATATTAGTGCCTTTTGCACCCCTTGACAAGAAGCGATGAACCAGAGCGGAAAACAGGGGTGTGGGTAACTTCGTGGGAGAGAGAAAAGCCTGCACACACCGTGAAATGAGACTGGACTCTCTCGTTCGTGGCCGGAATGCCCCAGCTGAATCTCTTGGTCTTTGCCCCAACAGCAGTTTCCGGGTCGACAAGGTTTCGGCACGAGATTTCAAACATGCGTTCACTCTCCGCGAGCTCCGACGCGTCGTCCACGGGGGAGAGGTAGACGTGGCCGGCGGGCCCGTACCACCAGGACGTGCCGGAATTGAGGTCAGGTTGGTGGGCGACGGCGGTGATGGGGATGAGGGTTCGCCAGATGGTCGTTCCTGTGGCCAAAATACGTGAATACCTGTTGTTTGGATCATGACAACGGGTTAGGAACCACCAAAGGCATACCTGTGAATTTGATCCGGTGATCGGGAAAGATACTGTCTCGCACAACCTTGCATCTCGGGAGTTAGTCAAGCGGCTTCCCGGTGTGTATGTACGACAGTGGGAGACGGGGCTCTCACCGAGCGGATGCCGTCAGCTCCCACGACGAGGTCGGCGGTCGTCTCGAAGCCATCTTCAAACCGGAGCGATATGCCTCCTTGAGGCAGATTCTTCAACGCGACCAGCCTCTTGTTGAGCCTGATAACGCCCGGAGCGACCTGCTTGATCAGGGCGGATTGGAGCCTGGTCCTCCTCACCCGACGCGCTCTATACTTGACCGGCATAGACGACGTTCTCGTATCAATGATTTGTCCGTTCAAGCCGTTGCTGAAAGCACAGCGTTACATAGGAAAGTCAGCAGCCGCCACCGTTCCCAGACAAACGAAGGTTTGATGTACTCAGTAGAGGCATTCGACAGACATACCGATGCAAGACCGTCGTCTTCATATGTCCCCTGACGTCCTGCGCAGCCCCCATCAGCTCCAGCACTCTCCAGCAGTTATACCCGATGCGAATGCCCGCGCCGATCTCCCTCAATTCCCTGGCCTGCTCATAGATGGCCACCTCGACATTCGGAAGCGCCGAGAGAGCGATGGCGGCGCCCAAGCCGGCCGGGCCGCCGCCGCAGATGGCGACGCGGAGCCTGTTGGGTTCGTCTAGAGGTAGTTTCTGAGCCACCATCTCTCTCGGTGATGCTGTGGTCTCTGTCGCGATTTATCGATGAGAGAAACGTCGTCTCCTAGGTTTTCATGGGACAGCCGTTTGCTTTCTTATCTGAACCCACCAGATCGGACTCGGCTGTAGTCGCACAGCATGTCTGTTGGGATATCCCTCCTAACTCGTTTCTGCATGACGTGCTTACGGGATGAGATCGCACCACGAGTTTTGTGATGCGACGGTTTATCTGCGCGACAAACGGCCAATCGGGGTGATGCACCGCGGGTGGTATCGAGGGAATATTCGACTCGGCTTTTGACCTGCGATAGTCACGGCCAATTTTGTGTAGACGCGACAGATGCGGCATCATGGTAAAGCAACCTATGGCTAAACATTGCGGGCAGATAGGTTACTAAGTAAGAAAGGCTGCCCTGTCGTCCATAAAGTTTTATTAGAATGATCAAGCATTAATTAACCTCCGATGTCTAAGCGATGACAAGTGACGACAGAGTTCAGGCTCTGATCGATTTCATTATTGGCATGCACATACCTTGTACGGTATACCGACTCGCCAAGTAGAATAGTTTGGTACATAAAACTCATCAAGCAGCCTCGGCTTTAGTTCGCTTTTGTATATTCTGGATGCAAATCCCCATTTCTCCGAGGCTGCCATGACCATGCCATATCAACGACAATAGTCTGATATCGATATACAACGTTCGACATGGCTCATACACCCACAATTATACAGACCGCGCCGATTTACGATTCCGTTGTCTCGTTACTGTACAATCACAACACTCTCCAGCGACTTCATCACGCCCCTCGACTCCCAATGAAAGTTTCCCTGTCGGGATAGATAACGACCAAGAACGGAATTTGATTATATCCATTATGGACACCAGTGTCGAATTAGGCTCGACTTCTCAAACGATGCCTCGAGATCGAGATGGAGAGCACATGGAAAGGGCTGAAGAGGGTGACACAGGACCCAATAATGAGGCCTCACTGAACCCCGTCGACGGGGGTTGGGCTGCGTGGAAACTGCTTCTCGCTGCATTCGTCTTTGAGGCGCTGCTTTGGGGTAAGTTGTGAAGAAAGAAAGAAAAAATTACCTTCTATATAACTATGGATATATGCATAAATATTATATGCAACAACAAATTTATCCGCTGACTTGGAGCAGGCTTCCCACTATCCTTTGGCGTCTTCCAGAACTACTACTCTCACCTCCCCGACTTCGTCCACCAGCGGTATATCTCGGTCATCGGGACCATCGCCTCTGGTATGTCCTATATGGGCGCGCCGTTGATCATCCCGGTACTGAAGCGATACGCAAAATACCGCGGCCAGATGATATGGTTCGGATGTATGGAAACCCCTCCACAAAAGAGAAGTAACTGTTCGCCGCTGACATTGCAGAAACAGGGACGTTGTGTATCCTCGGCATCCTCTGCGGATCCTTCGCCCGCACCGTCGGCAGTCTCATCTTCACCCAGGGCGTCATGTACGGGGTCGGGTTCATCATCTTTTACTACCCCATAATCAGCATGGTGAACGAGTACTGGATCACGCGAAGGGGCATGGCGTACGGATTTCTGTGCAGCGCGTCAGGGTTCTCGGGCATCGTCATGCCCCTGTCCCTCGAGGTCATGCTTAACAAGTACGGGTATCCGACGACGTTGCGAGCCGTGGCGATAGGACTGGTCGTGCTCACTGGACCGTTGATACCCCTGCTGAAGGGCCGGCTCCCGGCCTCGACGCAAAGTATTTCGCCGCGGACCAATTGGGCTTTCCTCAAGACGCCGCTCTTCTGGATCTACACGGCGTCCAACCTGATGCAGGGCCTCGGCTACTTCTTCCCGTCGCTGTACATTCCGTCGTACGCGTCGACGCTGGGCCTCAGCTCGCGACAAGGCTCCCTCCTCCTGGCCATCATGTGCGTGTCGCAGGTGCTCGGCCAATTCAGCTTCGGCTACCTCTCTGACCGACGCCTGTCGGTGATGGCACTGTCGTTCGCGTCGACCCTGATCCCCGCGGCGGCGGTGTTCGCGCTGTGGGGGCTGGCGCGCAACTTCGCCATGCTGTGCGCCTTCGCCCTGGTGTACGGCTTCTTCGGCGCGGGCTACACGGCCCTGTGGGCCCGCATGGGCATGGGCGTCACCACCGACGTCACCTCGGCCTTTGCCGTCTTCGGCCTGTTCAACTTTGGCAAGGGCATCGGCAATGTCCTGGCCGGACCCATCAGCGCCAATATGTTGCTGTTCGACCGCATCAACGTGGGCCGCTACGCCATCGGCAAGTACGAGGTGCTCGTCCTCTTCACGGGCTCGTGCATGCTCGCGAGCGCCGTCAGTATCGCCGTCGGGTATCTGGACGTTCAGAAACTGCGATTGCGCCAGCGACCTTGACCAATTGGCCGTTCACCACTGACTATTCGCCTTGGCCAAATCGACTCTTGGCTCTTTCGTTGCAAAAGTAGCAATACACAAAGGAAAGAGGAATCCAGAGCGTCAGAATTAGCTGAATTGATACTGTGGCCCTTTCACAGGACAAATTTGAGCGTAGTTGACATCATTTGTTCCATACGAGACTCATTCATAGAACGATGGACAAAGGTGTGTCCCGCAAAGCTGCCGCCCTCTTATATTCATTAGCGGGAACTTCCAAGGTGGCTTGCATCTAGTGCAACATCCAGAATATCTGGTCTGGTTTTATTTATCCATTGATTCTGTCTGAATTCCAGGATCGAGACAAAGGAAACATGTCGAGAGAATACATAGGTTTGAGCGCGAGAGAATTGTTTGTTTGACGGTCGTACTCGTGACAGTCACCATGTGCCAGCCCCACTCTTTGCCCCACCTTTTGTGAGCCACCCGCACACAAATCTTGGGATATATATAATCTTTCAGCTCAAATCCTCCCAACAACCACCCTCCGCATTGGTGTAATGGTAACATAGCCGGTTTTCAGTGAAAACCATCATACCCGGCGTAAGTCGATTCAAGTATGATATCTACTATACACAAATTCTAACCCCTTGCAGAGCCCGGGGTTCAATTCCCCGATGCGGAAAACATTTATATACTTTTTGTTTTTTTATTGTTTTTTTATCATTTTGCCTGGTTGTGCTTTTGTGTCTGCTGTGAAGATAACATTCATTCGCCTTTATCTTCTTAAGGCCTTAGCACATCAGCCACGGGAAAATATCACATTCTTAGGTGACCAAACTCCTACTCCTCTGTTGGTTACTTGGTGAAAATTGGATTTTTGAGCTGTAAGGAGAGGCGCCGCTTGTGGTACAAAATCCAGTCGCACGTCACCAGAGCACCTCCGCTTCAGTCAAAGTCGAGCCACAAGCATATGCAACCATCCAATCGGGCCGCTAAGAGACTGGGCATCATCGTCGACCTTGATACGCTAAAGAATATCGGAATCTGAGGCCAATCGCGGGTGTCATTAGTCACGACCACTATATCTGGATCGAACAGCACACTTGCTCCGGCGCATCTTGCCAACACCATAATTTGGAATAACTTGCGACGAGGCAGTCCTTAAGCGAGGCGTGACTGGCTTGGATTAAATGCACCGGAGCTCTAGCAGTTCTCATTATCCTACCAAGTTACCAGTTGGGAAGTTGGCGGCAGGGAATCGCTCCTGTCTAGATAAATTCCTTTGACGTCTTGGTCGATGATGCGCTTCCGCTAGCATCTCGGAGGGGAAAGACCTCAACTCCTGAGGACATCGCCGGACCTTATCTGCTGTCGGTATGAACTTGCAAAGGGTTGGAACTTTTCATTTGACAAAGCTTTCGTGATCGCCTGAATCCCAGCGCGTTCACTGAGGCATGGTTTGACAGAGGATGAGCTTCCCATGAGGATCTCTAATGTAGACATGAGTCCTTCGGAATGAGGTTTCGAAAAGTCTGTGGTGGCGCCGTCTTTAGCTATAGTTGTTCGGGATGGGTGACCTGAGCAGGAATGAGAAATAACTAGTCTGAAACCCGTTGTTCTTTCTGCTCGGAATACATCGGCTTGAGAGCACACCACTGATGGTAAGCCATGGTGCCTCCTGGTTTCTCTCTTGTACTGGTGCAGCTAAGGGCGATCTCAGGCTCTGGCTTGTGGAAGATTATGAATTGTCTTCCTTGTATCTTGATAGACCCAACAGCGTCTAAGGAATCTCGTGACTCGTGTTTCTCATCGTATTGCCACAGCCGTGCTGTTGCCGAGTCTCAATCGGGTTCGTAGCCGGTATCGTAGTCTTTGGCGGGATCTTCATAGACGAAAATAGTCGTCGCATTGCTCGATAGACTGTGTTGAGAGAGTGTGTGACTCACAACACTAGGATTCGAAGCTGGCGAGTGCTCACTGCTATCCGACGATTCAGTACTAGATTCTCGTTTCAAAAATCGCATTTGATCGTCTCGATCTCGAAGACTAGGCAGAATCACATCGAAGACATTCTCCACGTGGAGTCCTCTCGATTTTGTGCTTTGGAAAGCCTTTTCAAGCCAGTTGATAGCCGCTGTGTTACCCGTCTTCTGATAGTACGCAAGAGCAAGATTTGCTGGGAAATTGATAATGTTGGCGCCCCAGGCTCCCATTTCAGGTTGCAGGCAATAGGTAACACACCGGCAGACGTTGGCTGCTTGACCATCCGCATCGAATAGCCCCTCGAACGGTGCATCCATAGTTTTCAGTCTTTTTTGATCCCGAAGATAGAGCGACTGCAAAATCTCATTGCCCACTTGGCTCAAGGCCAGCGAACATGTATGATAGACCAGACGTGCATGGGCGAAGAGGTGGTTTTCGAACCACAGGTCTGTGGCAAAAGGATAAGCGGGCTGTTCAACTGGATCATGTTCGACGATTCGTGGCAATGCACCCTTCTTTGTGCCATCTCTCCATTTGTTCATTTTTCTCTGTAGTTCGCTGCATTCCTCCAGTAGGGCAGCAAGCTCAGCAGTCGTGTCAACATCGTACTCCTGAAGAATGTCAAACTTCTCCAAGATGCCTGGAATGAAGGTACCAAGGTCTACCATCCGATCGAAATATGTCCTGTGCTGGAATTCCCAGGGTATCGTTCGCCATTCCTCAGTAGCCAAGTACGTGGCCTTTCTTTGTAAAATCGCAGCATAGATTGTGGGAATTCTCGAGGCCAAAAAGGGGTGATGAGAATTCCAAGTCTGATGGCGCCTGGCACCACGAAGCTGAATCAGTCGAGCTGCTCCCGTGGCATGTGACACCCAACTGCGCGAATTGAATGCCGGCCCCTCAAAGACTTCGTAAAGCCCTAACAGCATACACGCCATGAGGATATGGTCGGAATACATCCGTTCGGGGTCGAAGAGAGCGAGCTGGAGCTCTTTGAGCGCCTTCCCATAAAGCTTTGCACTTTCGTGAACAAGACGGACATCTTTGTGACCCTGACCGACTCTTGAAATGCTTAAAGCTGAAAAGGCATCTGCCAGGGAAACATCATGTTTTGAGACACTTTGGAACACTTCTGTCCAATTCATGGGATGGCCACACCGGATTATAAAGTCATCTCGGCATGCTGCATCTCCCTGGGGCATATATAGGTCCCAAAATAGACTCTTGCACTGCGATTCGACCGCTCCCCGGTTGACTGAGCCCGGAAGAGGAGCGATAGGGGGCCGAGTACGAGCGACAAAGATGGCATGTTCGACCTTTTTGCTGGCGGGATGCAGAATAAAGGTACGTTCGCGATCGTAGCCACCGCAGATATTGCCACTTGCGACACATTGACCACAAACTGGACGCTTCTGATCACACTAGTGGAATGAGATGAGCGGAGATGACAAGGCGCGACTGTGTACGGTACTTACACCCTTTTTGCGCCTGCGACAGGTGCTGCAGCCTTTGCTTTTTCCTGGGACGCCAACCATTGCTATCAAGTGATCAAGTGGATAGAGAATGCCAGCAGGAACAGAGTGTTTCTCGCGCGAGGTACAGGATGATACTCATCTTGTGGTGAGAAGGGCAGTCATGGAAGGATGTTCAAGCAGTTGCTCGCCTGAGCATGATCATTCTTGTTCCAGTATCTGGACAACCGAAATCTCATCCTCTAGAGCGCAGAGGAGTAAGTGCGACTTGAACTCGCAACACAGTCGGCGTGAGATGATAATTAAGTATCCGGTAAGCACGAGTCGAGTCGCGGTGGAGGGAGGACAGAATTACAAGGCGGACAAGTCGCATGCACAGATGGACAATCCCCGAAAGCCATAGATGATTACTTCATGGCGGCCATGTGGGAGGAGTACTTTGGGAGCCCTTGCACCGAATGGTTGCAGGGTGATCATGCAATGGGGATGGCCAGTTTTGGCCCCCACGAGGGCGGAGGAGAGGGGAGGGAAGCTGCTGAATTAAGTGGTCCAAGGCCTAGGCCCTGGGGGCGAATTAAAGCTGAAGGATCCTCGGGTCTGTCGGGCTTATATGGACTCGTATGCCTCCCAGGTTTGTTAGATGGTCACCTGCCGAAAACAGAGAAGGCTTGTTCCCACCCAAACAAAGTTTACTTTTGGTGCTTTGGGGTGTCGCAATTGACCTCATAGGGCTTGAGCGCTGATGCTGCGGGCGGTCGATCCCCAAGGAATCATCCCCAGTCACCCACCAGCGCCACCAGTCGGGAGCTGACAAGCTGCGTGAAGTGCCTGGTGGTGCTTGGTCTCGGCACCCGTCAGTGCCAATCAACGCCCCACCAATTTCCCAAATGTCCCAAATGTCCCCTGGTGCATGCCGCATGGTGCATGCTGCATGGAGTGTGTCGTGGCAACTGTAAACAAACCAGTCAACTCTCACTTCACCACTACTCAACCATTATCTTCTTTGTACAGCTCAGTGAGCGGCTGACGGGTGTTATTTTTGCATGGTCTCTGCACTATTAGCAATAATTGTAATGGCATAATCGGTACTGCATCACCATGAATCGTCTCGAGTTCGCCCATCTCTTATCCCAGACGCAGTCAATGATGGCTCCATCCCGGGCTCCGGCAGCTGCGCACCTCTCCCACGACTTGTGTCCCAATCCCTCAGAAACGGCATCTTCTCCTTCGCTATCACCTCGACAGAGGTTCCAAGCACATGTACGGACGTTGAGTGATCAGACCGCATCTCCTCCTCGAAGCGCGTCCGCGAGCCCCAAGAGATCATCAGAGCTGCAGCATGTTTCCAGTTTACGTGTCTCGTATCGCGAAAGTCCCTCCCCAAGGAGTATTTCTCAGTCGAGTTCGACGTGGGAAAATAGAGACCCGATATTGAAGACGTTCAACAACACCCACAATGAGCCATACTTTATCAAGGAAGAGCGGGAGGCCTGGAGTAGACCATCACCTTCCAGAGCAACTATACCGTTGACAGACGATGTCTTCTTTCTACAACCGCCCAATTCACAGAGTCCGGTTTTGCAACCTAGCAAACAGCTGAGGGAACTGCGTCCATTTGCTCCCCTGGCTGGTTCGGCGGATGTGAACGAGAGACCAAAAACTAGTCGAGGGCCAACATTTGATCCCTCACACTTGACAATCGAAAATGCCAATTCCGGCTTTGGACATGAAGATGAACCTACACGACCGTCTAAGTTTGCAGAGGGGAGTATGAATGCCCGGTCTGCTGGAGTGTCTTCTACATGGCACGAGAATAGTTCAATCACCAGTTGCTCTGAAACTGAATCAGGGGATGACTCTACCCCACGGGCGTCACCACAGCGATCCTCTATCGATTTGCACGAGTTCAAACCAGAAACCGCGATTGCCCCGACCCTCAAGCAACGTCTTTTCAAGTTTGGAGCCAAGGCCAAGCCAAAAGAGAACACAACTAGGGACGAAGGAGAACCAACGGCAAAGAAAAAGAATGGCCTGAGGAAAAGCATGTCGCTCTGGAACCTCCATGGTGACAAGAAGAAGACAATAGATGGGTCAGGAAGTCCAGAAAAGAAATCTACGGCATCGAACCACGGCAACGACCTTGAGGTCCTCAATGATCGAAAGAGACGCGCAGAGGAAGCATACGCTCAACAGTTTGGCATGAAGAGGAGGAAGTCCAACGTGGGCCTAGCTACAGCAACAACTGGCGATGAAATTTCACAAGAGATGTTAGCCGCGACTCGCAACCAATCGCAGGGCAAGCCAACATCAAACCATAGCAGAATTCTCAGTCAATCTCCACCGAAATTGAACGCCTCTGACTCTGAGTGGTCTGATGGGCATAGAGATCTCGATCATCATAAACGACCAACTCGTCGGGAACTGGAGAAGGAGAATCAACAACTTCGAGCTTTATTGAGACAGAGGCAGCAAGAGAAGATTCCCCAGCCAACAGCATCGGCTTCCCTGCAGCATCCCCTGACTCCTGGAGCAGTCCACGAGGATGACGGCTCCACTCCCAAAGCCTCCGCAAAGAAACAGAGCCGAAAACAATCTGGAACAACAGTCCCCCCTGTCCCAGCATTGCCAGAGCGTGCAGCATTGAAGACATTGAGCAACACCACAAACCAGGACCACGCTAAGAACAGGGGAAATGGCAATTCGGGTGTAATGTCAACTTCAGGTACCAATGACCAGCCAAAGCACAATGTACAGAAGCAGCGCCGACGTCCGTCCGTTGTCCGGGGAGAGGGGTTTTCGCATCCATTCTCTGCCATTCTCGAAGAAGACGAGGAAACCGGGACAGTACAGGCACGGAAAGAAAACCAACGCCCGACGAATGATATGGCTCTCCCAAAATTAGCATCAGAGATGAAGCCCGGGAATGAAGCTATGGGCATTAAGGGGATGAAGATCAATCACGTTGCCACGATGCAGATGCAGGTAATGCAAAAGGAGAACTGGGAATGGCCTGACGACGTTTTCTAGTCGACCTATGAGGCAACCACTTGAAGCCAGGCTAAAGCCAAGTGCATGAAGAGGGAATGACGGCAGACACCTTTGGCTGATGAGACACGACTGTTGATTGTTTGAGTCGGGATCGTGGTAAGTGGATTTGAAGCGTGATGCAATACGAGAATGACATGATGAACGAGTGAGGAAGAGCGATATGCCAGGCATTGGAAAGTTGGACGACTTCAAATGATTTCATGTCTATGGAGTTTGTGGGTTTGACTCTATTCTTTCTGTATTTCGAGCAGCGCATCGCATGGCTGAGCGAGTTTTGTTCTGGCGCCACAGCGACGTGTCTTGTTTCGATTTGATCGTTCCAAGGATAGTCGACAACTTGGTTTGGGAACTGTGCAGCAGCAACAACGGCATTGGGGACTGGATCTACATGTTTCCGCCAGGAATCCCGCGCGTGAATGCCTCCATGTTGCTCGTTTGCTGGATTTCCTTCTACTTGGTTGCCTTATCACTTCTATTCTTGCCTGAAATTTACGTACATAGCGCTGCATGGCATGGCATGGTATCGGGCAGCATAGCATACCTTTGTAGGTATGTAGTACAGCATAACTCAGGAAAGCCTTTTGCAGTAGCGGAGGTAGAGACAGTGAATGGCAAGACTGACTTGATAAAAGAAGATGAAACACGCCAACGAGAGCAGAGGCAGCAAACTCCTCCCGGTCTCCGACCTGCAGGTGGCTTTCTTCGCCAGAATGCATCGTCCCGGTATGTGATTTATTTATAGCTCATTGCTATATATATACACCTACATACGACGTGCCCGTACCGGTGAATTCCCCCGGACGGACATGGACATGGGCATGGACAGAAGATGATATGATACGGCGGGCCATGGCCGCCGAATGAGATGTCGAGGACGATTGTCGACGTCTTCGGGATTTCATCTACCTCGTATATCCAGACCGGGTACGTAGGTGATTGCTGTAGGGAGTGGTGATCTCATGGGACCTAGTGTCCTCGGTACGTACTGTACATACAATACCTAGGTATGTATTGATGTATACATGTCACATGTATATATGTATGCCTACCCAACCTAACCAGCCAGCCAGGCCTATCCTGGAATACCTAGCAAAGTCATACCTAGCACCCTGCGCAACTGATAGCCAGCCAACCAGCCCACAAGTACCTACATACATAGGGTATCCAAGTGCCTACCTAGTTGAGAGGGGACGTCAAGGGCCCTTATGCATGTAGGGAGGGGGTAGGCTCGCAAGGCTTTTCCTCGTCTTTACGGCCCAGTTTTCGTCTCTTGGTTGCGCATGACGACTCCTACATATATTCCGTGGAAAAATATGTGCTGGGAGAGGGAGAGTAGAAGAGAGGAAGAGAGAGAGGAGGGGGGGGGAAGGTGGAATATAGATAGGTGTGGTGCTAAGTATCTCGTAAGGATGATGGGCTATTGCCCATTCAAGATAGACGGAGAGGAGTATGTCCAATCAATCGATCAACCAACTAAACAAACTATATGCATATACAACCGTTGATTCATTTACTCATTCAGTCACCCATCCAAATCAGTAGTCAACATCAACGTCAATATCAAAACCATCCCGGGTGACAGCATTCCGAGAAGGGAATTCTTTGAATTGAAGCAGGGCGCCAGAGGAAGAAGTTCAGAGTTGCAGTCTGTGCTGAGACCCTCTTACAAACCTCGGTTTCCTTCGAGAGTGAGAAGGAGTGCCATGATACCATGTTTGACTTCACACTGATTGCCCCCTCGGGTTCAATCAGTTCCAGAACCACCCACCGCCACTCCGTCTGGGTCGCCCACTGTTGTTGCTTCCGTCTTGCTGTTGCGTTGGCGCAGGCTGTGGCTCATGCTCCAGCTCTGGTTCCGTCTCGGCTGTCAAGATTGGTATCCTTCGAGGAAAACGTTTCGGCCCTGTCGACTCTTGATCTTGCTGTCGTTGAAGTTCCTCATTCTTTTCGGGCTCATCAAAAAGTGATTGATCTCGGTAAGAGCCATATGCATCTTTCTGGCGTCCTCTTGGATC